AATACCTGGGGGATGTAGTTCAGCCTAGTCAAGGTTATACATCAAAAACCCATCACACAACAGAAGCCAATATATGAGACATGTGTCCCTTTCCTTTGCCTTCCTCTCTGTGCCAGTACATGAGGAAGCTATGGCCTAGAAAAGGGATATGGAGAAAGCATCCCAGAGGCAGACCATATTGCTCTCCCAAGAGACTCCAATGAAAGGGGATGGGAGGAGTGAAATAACAGAACACATCCTCTCCCTATTTTTGGCCTTGGAGCTATAAATCTGGCATGCAGGGGGGAAAGGGGAGGATTTGAATTGATATGTCACAATTTTAACAATGGACAGCAAGTAGGAAATTATGTGATCTGAGATATCATTAAGACAGTTACTGACTAGCAAGGAAAGGAGACAACATAGCAAGTTTGGGTACAGTGATTGGAGACAAAACTCCACTGAGACAACCGAACAAAAAATAATTAGACTACAAAAATTGTAAGAACTATTGCAGATGTTAAACAAAGAAGGAAAATATGTGGCTAGAGTGGTCAAAGAAGGCTTATTTCTAAAAGGTAGAATTTGGACTGGGCCTTCTTTTTTTTTTTTTTATAAATTTATTTTTTTTGAATTGATTATGCTGTTACAGTTGTTCTATTCCCCCCTTCATTCCCCTCCACCCTGCCCCCCCAACCCCACCATTACCCCCCTTTAGTTTATGTCCATGTGTCTCAAGTCCTTTAGGTTCTATATTTCCCATACTATTCTTGCCCCCCCCCATCTATTTTCTATCTACTGTCTATGCTACTTGTTTTCTGTACCTTCTCCCCCCGTCTCCTCCTCCCACTCCCCTGTTGCTAACCCTCCTTGAGATCTTCATTTCTATGTTTCCACTCCTGATCTAGCTGTCCTTTTAGTTTGCTTTCGTTTTAGGTGTGGTTGTTAATAACTGTGAGTTTGTTGTCCTTTCACTGTTCATGTTTCTTTAACTTCTTTTTCTTAGGTAAGTCCCTTTAACATTTCATATAATAAGGGCTTGGTGATGATGAACTCCTTGAATTTGGTCTTATCTGAGAAGCACCTTATCTGTCCTTCCGTTCTAAATGAAAGTTTTGCTGGGTAGAGCAATCTTGGTTGTAGGTCTTTAGATTTCATGACTTGGAATATTTCTTTCCAGCCCCTTCTTGCCTGTAAGGTCTCTTTTGAGAAATCTGCTGACAGCCTGATGGGGACTCCTTTGTAGGTGATTGTCCCCTTACCTCTTGCTGCTTCCAGGATTCTTTCCTTCATTTTAATTTTGGCTAATGTAATTATGATATGCCTTGGTGTGTTTCTTTTTGAGTCCAACTTTTTTGGTACTCTCTGGGCTTCTTGGATTTCTTGGAAGTCTATTTCCTTTGCCAGATTGGGGAAATTTTCTTTTATTATTTGTTCAAATAGTTTTTCCACTGGTGGTTGTGTCTTTCCCCCTTCTGGTACCCCTATAATTCGGATATTGGAGCGTTTATAGATGTCCTGGAGGTTCCTAAGCTTCTCCTCATTTTTCTGAATTCTTATTTCTTCATTCCTTTCTGTTTGATGATTTTTTTCTTCTTCCTTCTGGTCCACTCCATTGATTTGAGTCCCAGTTTTTTTTTCATCTCTATGGTTTTCCTGTGGAATTCCATTCATTTCCCTTAATTTAGCCTTCATATGTTTCTCTAATTTGTGGCTATAGTCCACCAGATCTGTGAGGAAGCTGATGACCAGTGTTTTAAACTGTGCGTCTGAGAGATTTGCTATTTCTTCGTCACTTAGATTTATCTCTGGGGCTTTGAGGTCTCCCTGCGACATTTTTGGTCTGTTCTGGCCCTTTAAGTGGGAGGAGCAGCGCCTTGGATTCCCAGGTCGCTGGGTTGTGACGCTGTATGTGGGGGCGTGGTCAGAGCGGGGAAATGGCGCCGCCGCCCCGCCGAGTCCAACCGCTCACTCCCTCACCCGCGTGCAACCAGGCAACCACAGTCAACTTGCTGCCACCGCCTCCCCACTGACTCCTCCGTAGTCGCTCACCCGGTGGGCCGCCCGGTCGCTCACTAGGTCCAATCCTGGGTTTGGAACCCGTGCGACTGGATTCGCGCGTCTGGATTCCGCGCCCGGGTCAATCGAGCCCTCCTTTGTAACTCCTCACCTGACGCCGGTTTCGCCCCTTACCGGTCTTGCCGAAGAATTTGTTGTTAGCGGACTTCCGAAAAGTTCAGTTTTCCGTGTTCTGGTTGTGTTTTCTGATGCTAATATTTAGTTGTCCCTAAACTTGGTTGTGTGAGGAGGCACGGCACATCCACCTAAACCTCCATCTTGGCGGAAGTCGAGTTCTCAAAAAAATCTGGACTGGGCCTTCTTAAAAGAAACATTTTGTAGAGAGTTGGAGCAGAGGGGAAACTATTGAACATAAAGGTTTAGAGAAATGATATGTACACGTGGGGAGTGAGGACAGGATGAATGTTGGACTGATCAAAGTATGTGTGCTAAGCAGCCAAGTATTGACAGGGGTTATACTAGGCAGGGTCTTGGAGAGCCAGGCAGAGAAATTGAGATTTGATGAGGTAGTTACTAGGAAATCATTGTAGGTTCTTGAATGAGGCAAGCTTGAGGGAAGTTTTTGTTTTGAGTATTTTGAAGGCAGATTAATGTAATAGTAGTATAACAGAGGGATTTTAGGGGAGAATGACTGAGATTCAAAGGGGCTAGTTAGGATGCTGTTGCAAAACTCTAGATAGGAATTGATTATTACCTGATCCAGAATGACAAAGGTAAAATGGAATTGGAGAAAGGGAAATATTGCAAACAAAAACAGTAAGACCAATGACCAAATGGAACTGTGGTGGCAGAAAGGATAATTCAAAATATTCCTTGGTTTCTAGCTTGGAGAATTGGAAAGATAGTGGTATTGCAAGCATGAATGAGGAAGTTGGGAAAATTTATTTGGGAAAACATGACTATTAATTCAATTTATTTGTGATTATTGAAGCTGAAGTTATGATTTGAAGTGGAAATGTCCTAATAAAAGTTGGAAAAAAGAACATTAGATTAGATTTGATAGAAATATGCACAAAGAACTGCAAGTGGAAGGTTGAGGCTGAGAAACTCAAAGAAGCACAGGTGGTGTTTTTTAAAATAACTTCTTCCAACTGAAGGTGGTGTCCTTTAGAAGACAAAGGAGCAAATAGGAATGGAACAGTTGGCTACCCAGATGGTATCAAAGAACAAAATATATTTTGATATCTGGACCATAGCTTAAGACCCTGGAACTGATGTTTTCTTTTGTTTGTTTGTTTTTTGGCAAGGACTAGGAAGTGTGTCATAAGGACAACAAAATAGAAAGGTTTCTTTCTTCCTTTTTCTTTTTAGAGGGGAGGGGAGGCATCATTTTGGAAGGAAATTGTTCTTAGATGGATAGATAAGGAGAGAGAACTGAGTAAACAAACACAGAGAGAATAACATTGTTTCAAAAGATTTAATTACAGGTAAAAGGAAGCTGAATTTATTGTTAACATTTATTGAGAGTTTACTGTATGTTAACATTGTGAAAAATTCTTTATATGCATTTTCTCATATAATCCTTATAAGAAGCTTAACTTTTTTCCCACTCAACAATGTGTCATAGACATGTTTCCATGTCAGAAGAAATCTGCACTGTCGTGTTTAATGGATACATAGCACAGTATTCCACTGCATGAAGGGTCATTGTATTGTAGTAGGCTACCGCAAACTTTCCTATGAAACATCTTTTCTACACCTTTAAATTTTTTTATTTAAAATTTTTAAATTTTCTACACCCCAATGTATGAGCTCTTTTTTTCCTAAATAACAGATAAATATTTTTAGTTAAAAAATTTTTGAACATCACAATTCAAAAGTAAAAATATAAAAAGGTATATAGTAAAAATATTTTTTCAAGATTTCTTCCATTCTTATTTCCTGCCCTATCCCTACAATTATTTGTTTCCTTCATATCTTTTCATAATTTCTTTATGCTATATAAGCAAATATGTAAATATGTATTCTTATGTTTTCCTTTTTTCTTTTTACACAAAGTAACAAGCACCTTGTGATCATCTCTTTAGGGTAAAATATTAGAAGTGCTATTGCTGAATTAAAGGATAGTTTCAGTAAAATCTTAGTTAAAAATCATTGCTCAATCAGGCATCAGGAAGGTTATGTACCACTACCACATGAATGTCACTAAATCCATTTTATTTATTTTTTAATTTCAGTGTATCCATATACCTTGAAATGTGTGGAGCTCAGAATAAATGTTATAAAAATCACTATAATTTGTAATATAAGGCTAATTCTGGTATTATACAGAAGTGATTATATAAAAGACTTATCCACCTACAATTTATAATATAGACAAATGAATACAGTGGAAATGAAAGTTTTTTTATCCTCACCTGAGAACATTTCTTCATTGCTTTTAGAAAAAGAGGAAAGGGGTGGGTAGGGGCAGGGAGAGAGAGGAACACCAATATGAAGGAGAAACATCAGTTGGTTGCCTTCTTGTGTGCGCCGAGAGAGGGGACTGGACCCGCAACCCCAGCATGTGTCCTGACCAGGAATCAAAACTGTGACCTTTCAGTCTATGGGATGATGCTCCAACCAACTCCAACCAAGCCACACCATTAGGTTATGTTTATCTTATTGGATAGGTGGAGAGACAGGTAGGAATTAAAAGATGGAAAATTATCAGTTGTTTGTGATGTAAAGATATGAAATAGAGATGAATGAGTCAAAGAATAAACAGAATGATAAATAGGGGCAGACTTAAAATGAGAACAAAAAAGAGTAGATCATTTCATTGGACCTCATATAACTAATAAGGCATATTGCCAGATCATCTCTTTTGTAATTTTTTAAAAACTATTACAACCTCTATTTCTTTTATTGAATTGGTACATATTGATTATAATAGAAATTACACCAAATTTCAACTGGATGAATATGTTCATTTGTCTTTTTTTTCTTTTCTTCTTAAATAGAATTGTCTGAAAGAATGGATACGTCTCCCTCCAAAAAATACCCCGTTAAAAAACGGGTGAAAATACATCCCAATACGGTGATGGTGAAATACACTTCTCATTATCCTCAACCTGGGGATGATGGATATGAAGAAATTAATGAAGATTATGGAAATTTTATGGAAGAAAATCCAAAGAAGGGTCTGCTGAATGAAATGAAAAAAAAGGGAAGGACTTTTTTTGGAACCATGGATACCCGACCTCCACCAACAGAAGACCCAATGACCAATGAGATTGGACAATTCCAGAGTTTTGCAGAAAAAAACATTTTCCAATCCAGAAAAATGTGGATAGTGCTGTTTGGATCTGCCTTGGCTCATGGATGTGTAGCTCTTATCACTAGGCTTGTTTCTGATCGTTCTAAAATTCCATCTCTAGAGCTGATTTTTATCCGTTCTGTCTTACAGGTTTTATCTGTGTTAGTTGTGTGTTACTACCAGGAGGCCCCCTTTGGACCCAGTGGATATAGATCACGACTCTTCTTTTATGGTGTATGCAATGTTATCTCTATCACCTGTGCTTATACATCATTTTCTATAGTTCCTCCTAGCAATGGGACCACTATGTGGAGAGCCACAACTACAGTCTTCAGTGCCATTTTGGCTTTTTTACTTGTAGATGAGAAAATGGCTTATATTGACATGGCTACAGTTATTTGCAGCATCTTAGGTGTTTGTCTTGTCATGATCCCCAACATAGTTAATGAAGAAAATTCCTTGTTAAATGCTTGGAAAGAAGCCTTTGGATACACTATGACTGTGATGGCTGGGCTGACCACTGCTCTTTCCATGATAGTATACAGATCCATTAAGGAGAAGATCAGCATGTGGACTGCACTGTTTACCTTTGGTTGGACTGGGACAATTTGGGGAGTATGTACTATGTTCACTCTTCAAGAACCTGTTATCCCATCAGATGTAGAAACCTGGAGTTATCTCATTGCTATATGTGTCTGTTCTACTGCAGCATTCTTAGGAGTTTATTATGCCTTGGACAAATTCCATCCAGCTTTGGTCAGCACAGTACAACATCTGGAGATTGTGGTAGCAATGGTCTTGCAGCTTCTAGTGTTACACATATTTCCTAGTGTCTATGATGTCTTTGGAGGTGTAATCATTATGATTAGTGTTTTTGTTCTTGCTGGCTACAAACTTTACTGGAGGAATTTAAGAAGGCAGGATTATCAGGAAATTATAGACTCTCCCATTAAATGAATACCTGACTATTATCTTAACCATTACTTATTAATAGGTACACTGCCACTTTAATATTCACCTATACCTTTTATGTTATATAACTGGCAGAGTGCTAATATAATATTTAATTAATATATGCAGATGTAGAAAAATATATTCTAGTCTAATATATTCAAAAAATATTAAATATGTGAAATGTCACAAACCTAATGTCTTTACTGTTATTAACAAAAGGTAATTGTGGTAGAAGGAGAATGTTAACTTTCATCACTAAATGACATAAACTTGAAGAAATGAGCCCTTTCAGATGGAATTTCTGTGATACTAAAGTTCTAAGATTAGAAAAATGTTCATGCCCAATGTTTTATAAATGTTCAACAAAAATCCTCCAGTATTAAAAAATCTTCATTTATGAAAAGTACGCTGTAGGGTAAAATGCTGAACACCGGGCCCGGCTTTACCATCTACTTGCATTAGAAAACTAGAGATGATTGGCCTGAGTAAAGGAGCTTGAGTTAAGACAAGAAGAGGAAACAAAAGAAAGGAGCTGGTTTTTTAATGACTAGGGTGCTTATTCTACCTTAGAATAGTAAATTGGTCTTACTCTTGCTATGGCCACATTAAGCAATGCATCAGATATGGAAGTAGGCAAAAGACTGGATTCTTGCCAGCTGTACTTAGTCTACACCATTTTTTGCCTGATGGTGGGAGGTTTAGTGTTGGGGCCAGTTCTGCTTATCCTTAGTTATAGGAGGATCTCTTCAAAATTGCCCTTGTTTAGATTTTGTAGTCAGTACATGTATAAGCTTCAGTAAAGATACTCTTTAGCTCCCCAAAAGATACTAACAGTAATCGCAGTATAGCAGAAAAATGATAAAACATGGTGTCCTCAGATTCTTTTTTAAAAAGGCCTAAATGTCTGTAAAAGCATAAGGCGGCATTCATTTGGGTCTAATTTGGAAAATTTTTACTAATTTAGTACAAAACAATGTTGATATGGTACTGGTTATTAAACTATTGTTATTGAGCTATCCTAGCTCCAAATTCACCTTTCTATACTTTCCTTTCTGATGCTATGGCTCAGATCCTGCAAGCTACATTTTTCCTATGCTAGCTGATGTCTCACTAGGTTCTACCAATAAAGGCCATTACATGGAGACTGGAAGTGAAGGGGCAAAAGGACTTCCTCCTTTCCAATTGTTTGCAGTGTCTGTCATTGTTACCTCAGCAATAAACAATGGTCCCTAACTCTAGCAGAAACAACTGATTTCATCCTTGAGCTTCTTTTGGCACACCATCACCCCAACCAGCTTCATCATATCCCTCTCAAAGGTAGCAAGAACAGATGGACAGCATCCTCTCAGGGACTGGAGCTACAGTTCATCTGGGTTATTCTTCTGAGCTTCTGAGACCTAATAGTCCAACCTCAGCTCCTCTTTTTCACTTGCTTTAGTGGAGAAAGCTGCTGTCTACAGTTAGCACCTCTGGGCTACTTCAGTGTTCCTTTTTTGCTTTTTCAGTCCATCTCTTGCTGGCCATGTTGGCTCTCAGTTCTTGAGTTCAGCAAAGAAAGAATTCAGAGCCAAGAACTCTGGTACAAGAGGAAGTTTATTTAGCATGCAAAGCGAAAGTACACTCTAAGAGAAGATTTGAGTCGGCTGCTCAGAGAGCTGACTTGGCCTTTTAGAAAGAAAGTCACAGAGGCAGAAGTGAGCCAGCTACATTGTGTGGACTTGGGAAACAAGTTCCAGAAGCAAAGGAAGGGCCCTTTGAGACAAGTCCAGGGGCGGAGGGAGCCGGGGGGGCTGGGACAAGCTGCCACTGCCTGCTGCTCACTTGATTATAAGTGTGGTGGGGACCCTTAGAACTTAGGAGAAAGAAAGCGCAGATACACACCCGAAGAAAGAAAGTGAGATTGTGCTCTAGACAGAATGCACTGGGTCCTTTTCTTTAAATGGTTTTTATCTAAAGATGCAGGAATTTTAGGAGTGGTCTCAGGGGAGATCTCAATAGAATATTCATCAGCTTTCCATGTGTGTTCTTTAATATGCTGATGCATCAAAGTGAGCATATAGGTCATTCTCTGGTCAGTTTCACCTTCAAAGAATGTTACCTTAATGGGACCAGGACTGAGGTAGGTCCACTCTGGCATGGTCTGGAATGTGTAAGATAAGACCTTGTAATTTATTATCTGGCTGTAAATTGCTTGCCTTGTTTGTTCAACTATCTGTCTCAGTTTCCCCATTCCATTCCCTAAATAATTGTCCTAGCTTCTTACTGTCCTGCCTCACATCAATGTCCAATACTAAATTCTCTGTTCTAATATCTTCTGATTTCTATTTTCTTCATTAATGTGTCTCCAAACCTTCCCCCCCAAAACCCATATTCATTGGTTAGGTGTCTGTGGTTTTGGTAAAATGTTAACATTCAAATTTTGCAGCAATTACTAGACACTGGCTTTCAAAATGAATTATACAAATTGAAACAAGGAAAGAAAAAGACTTGAAAAAAATTAATAAAGCCTGGACTGACATGTAGTAAGGACTAAGAAGTCTAGTGTAGGTGTAAGTATAATCTCAGAAGAGAAGCGAAAAAAGGGCAGAAAAAAATATTGAAGCATTGTTGGCGAAGTTTTTCAAATTGTACAAAAAAGGAAACAACTATAACCATCAATCCACAAAAACAGGGATACATGAATCCAAGTAGGATAAATACCAAGAAAATCCTAACTAGTAACATAGTGTAACTGCTGATAAACAAAGGTAAAAAACCAAAATCTTAAAAGCAGCCAGAAAAATGCCCTGGCTGGTGTGGCTCAATGGATTGAGCGCCAGCCTGTGAACCAAAGGATCATAGGTTCGAATCCCCAGTTAGGGCACATGCCTGGGTTGTAGGCTAGGTCCCAAGTTGAGGGCATGTGAGAGGCAACCAGTCAACATGTCTCTTATACATCAATGTTTCTCTCTCACTTTCTCCCTCCCTTCCCGTCTCTCTAAAAATAAATAAATACAATCTTTTTTAAAAAGCTAGAAAAAAAGACATGACATTCAGGAAAACAATCATAAGAATTGCAGCTGGCTTCTCATCAGAAACATCGGAAGCCAGAAAACAACAGAATGAATTTTAAAGTGCTAAAAGAAAACCCTTTGATGGCTTCTTATTGCCTCTACAATGAAGTTTAATGTCTTTGACTTCAATAACCCAGTATTACTTGCATTTCCAGTCATCTGCTCCAACAATGTTCTACTATTGTGTAATACCTTTTTTTTTTTTTTTTTTTTTTTTTTTTTACTCAGGCCCCTCTATGTAGAAAGTTCTTCTTTTTGCTTACTTAATTGTCTGACTAAACTGACCAGGCAACTCCCCTCCCCTGGTGGCTTAATGTCACCCTATATACACTATTGCTGTACTTAACTATATTAATAAATATCTGTGTAAGTCTCATTCTCCCATACTGGGTTAAGTTCCTTTAAGTTTAAGTCTTGTCTTTTTGGATCTCCAGTAGTGCCTAGACTGGACAGTTTTTAGATTATTATAGTGTCTGCCCCAGAGTGGATTCTTAATAAATTTTTGTTGAATTCCCACAAAAGCATAATAATACTCAATCCAAAAATTAAATTTAGTTTCCAGGGTCTCCTAATTCCTATATCTCACAGCTGAGCATGTGATTAATTACTTTTTGCTGATCAGCAGGTAGGGCTCTTTTTGGTTCTAAACAGTCCTGTTTGACAATGATGCTAAACCAGATCATTCTCTCTAATCAGTTCTAACTATACACTAATAACAGTTTTGGGGGAAAGGCCTTGAGACATGGAGGCTCTTTTCCCCTTACCTGTCTTCCTAAATCTTTTCCTTTGGGATTAATGAAATGAGCTGTCTGCAAGCTTTTATCCTAGATAGATTAGCTACTCATATCTGAAGCCCCATTTCCAGTCTATAGGTCTCAAGTCCTGACCTAAATTTTCCTGTCACCTGATTTTGGCTAGCTCCTGGTCCACTCAGCACTAATTATGAAGGGTGATTTCTGTTTTGGGCTTGAGTTCCACTAAAAGAGGAAAAAGAAACAACATGTGTGTTTGTATTTGAAAGTTGGGGAGACAACAGCATGTATTAAAAGAAGTCTCTGGAATAACTCCTACCCCATAAGAATGTGTACTCCATTCCTTCTAACTATATCATATTGCAATTCTTCAGAAAAATTTTAAAATATTTTATTTATTTATTTTTAGAGATACGGCAAGGGAGGGAGAATATGAGGGAGAGAAACATCAATGTGAGAGAGAAACATCGACTGGTTGCCTCCCATTTGCCCTCTGACCAGGGACCAACTTCACTAACCAGGCATGTGCCCTGACCAGGAATTGAACCTGTGACTTTCTGCTTTGAAGGCTGATGCCTAACTAACTGAGCCACGCCAGTCAGGGCTCATACTGAAATTGACACATGACTTTTGCCTATCTACCCTTCCATCCAATGCTTTCCTCTTTCATTGGTGTTTCCTTATTTTACACTTTTTTTCATATTTTTTTAGTTTATCTTTTTTAGAAGAGTTCCTGGGAAGAATGAGTTAAGAGAAACTTAAGGGGAAAAAAAACACATCTACAGGGAAATACAACACTTAAATTTCTTAATTCTATTGCTTAAATAGGTGGCATACAGTAGTCAAGAAATTTGTATCAAAATCTCAGAAAGATCTGTTCAGATCAGTGGCCCATTCAAAATACATATTCCCTTAAAAAATAAATCTAAACTTATGGCTTAAGCATATTTTTGCTGGGTTTATGTTCTCCATTTAAGGTAGGTTGTGTAAGCTACCTGATGGCAAAAATCACTTTACCTATTGAACTTGTATTCACACTCCCTTCCCCCATCGCGTGTCAAATGTATTCCCAGATTTGAATTGAACTAGGTTTTCCTAACAGTTTGCTGTGTAATTTTGGAAGAATTAGTTTTAACCTCTGGACAATGGTTTCTCCAGTTTCAAAAATAAATATAAATATCGCAGTCCATAAACTTTCTAAGATTTATCAAAACAAATAAAACTACTATATTAGCTCAAGCTGCCATAACAAAATACCACAGACTGGGTGGCTCAAAGTATAAAAATTTAATTTCTCCCAGTTCTGCAGGCTTAGTTCCACATCAGGCTGCCAGTGCCAGCATGGTCAGTTTCTGGTGAGAATTCTTTCTGGATCTACATGGCTGCTTTCTTACTGTGTCCTTTCTGAGTGAAAACAGAGAACAAGCTCTCTGGTGTATTGTCTTAGAAAAACACTAATCCTATAGTATTAGGGCCCCACTCTTATCACTTCACTCAACTTAGGGCCCTCAACTTAATTATTTCCTAAAGGCCCTATCTCCACATAGTCACATTGGGGGTTAGGGCATCACATACAAATTTCCACAGGGCACACACAATTCAGTCCATACAGCCATAGTAAAATGTGCAAAGGTATTTAGACCCTTAGAGTAAGTTCAAAATTCACTTACATTATTTACTGTGGATGCCAATGAGATGTAAACACAGGTAGCTCTTGCTCAGAGTTTCATGCTCTATATCAACCAACTTGAAGCCAAGAAAGGAGTTCAGGTTGAGCGTGATTTGAGCTTGACCTTGTGATCCTATATATGTCAAACATACCCCATACACTTATCAGCACTCAAATAACTTAAGTAAATGAAGAAAAGTGCGAACTCTTGGGCTCCAGAGTCAGGGCATTAAAGATAGGAAAGGAAGATGCATTAAGGCCTTCAACAATATTTAGTGACAATCTATCACATGCTAGGTACTGGAGAAAACCTGAAAACTGATATGACTCCTGACTTAAATGGAGTTTACAGTCAAGGTGGGAATATGGGCAAACCATTTCAACAGCTTGGATGGGGAAAATACTAGCGTTCCACGAAGGGTACCTCAACCAAGCAGTCTTCCCTGAGGAGGCAAGCCTAACCTGAGCCACAAAGCTGGTTAGGAAGGAGTAAGGCATATTGTAGGGGGCTGCAGCCTCGCGTCGGGGGCATCAACTTACTGATGACTCGGCAGGTGGCTGGGGCTGGGCCCCTAAGGTTGGGAAGACCTGTCACCGAAGGTCACAGTACCAACTACCGCAAACGAAGCCGGAGGCTACCTTATACACCATGACACTTCGAAGGCCCTCAGACTCAGCTTACTTTGGTCTGTGGCTCAAATTAAGCATGCATCTTAGATTTTTCTCTCAGGTCCCTATTTCCAGGCCTTGGTTTCTTTTCCCTTTTAGCTTCCTGCCCCCAACTATCTTCATTTGCCAAGACTCTTTTCAGGCGCAGAAATCTGGGGGAAGATGTCACAGAAGTTGGGGCTGACCTCGGGAAGCAGTCATTTTTTTGCTGTTGGGTCTCTCCTGAGGCGCTGAGGAGGAAGGCTCAAAACTGTCAGCAGGGGAGGAAAAGGAGCCCCAACACTGGGTAAGGGTCCAACGCCTCTCTAGCTTTCTCAGCGGCACAGAAAGCTTGTTCACTCCCAGCTCAGCACTTGATTGACAGGCCAGCTCGTCCAATCCCGGTGCAGCGCAGACCGCTGTCGCGTCAGGGATGGATGGAGAGGGGAGATCGAGCCTATCAGATTAAGTCAGGACTGGGTTTCCTGCCCGCGCGGATCCGCCTGCGGCCCCGCGGCCAGTAGGCGCTGCAGCTCCGCCCGTCCGCTGCACGCGCCCCGCCCCTCTCCGGAGAGCTACGCGGCGGTGGAGCGGAGGCCTCGTGCCGTAACGGCCATCGCGGCGGCCGCAGCCGTGTCCCCGTATCCACCTCAGGTGAGCTGGGGCCACAGAGGCTTGGAAGAGGAAAGGAGAGAGGGCCTTGCTTGCAGGCAAATGCTCAAACAGCCTTTCCTTGCGTCTTGCCTCCTTACACCCTGCTATTCGCTGTGTCGCTTCCTCTTCCCTGGCGAAGTTAAGCCCCCGGGGCGCCGTCTGTCGGCCCAGAGCCGAACCGGAGGGGGCGGGGAGGTTGCTCTGCGTGGCCTGGGCTTTTGAACTACGCTCCGCGGGACCATCAGGTTACAACCTCCGGGTTGGGGGAGGTGGAGCGCGGGCCTGTGGCTTTCCTGCCTGTCTCTGGAGTGCCAGGTCCGGATGAGCACCCCGGGCGGCCACCCATGCGAGGCTTCGGGGGTCCAGTGTACAGCCTGTGCTTCTCTGTTTCTTTTTCTCCCCCCAAAAGTCCCGTTGCCTGTTGTGGCCTAATGCAAGGCCGGGAAGGTGGGAACGTGTTAGAGGAGAACATTGGGAAGAGGAGAGCCTTGGCCAGAGGATGGACATCCCTGAGATGCTCCTTCTGTCCCTCCCCCACCAGCCGGTACCCGTGTTCTTGGGAAATCTGGGTTATTTTAATCGTGTGATCTGCTGTAGATCCGTGGTAGATCCGTATATGAGTTGCTCGGGCTGCGAGGCTTTGTAATATATCCGGTAAAAAACGATCTCGAAAGGTTGGTTTTGTAACCTTATGTGTAACCATAAAAGTTAAATTTGCAGTTAGAAGCTCAGGAAGCTAGATTTTGTTCAGGGCTGAGAACCGTAACAAAATACACGCATTAATGTCCATCTGATTGGCTAGTGACCTGAGAATAATTATACCTGTTAGATTCTGTAAGAAACCTTAACGAAGTAGGAAAGAATGAAGTTAAGGAGAATTTTCTAACCCCATCTCGGGTAGTGAGCGAAGGACCTGTGTCCGGTCAAAACGGGTAAGTATTGCAAAAGATAACTCATTTTAAAAAAATCTTCTGTGAAACTCAGCCGTACAATTTATTAAGGACCTGGAAAGCGTTGTACCGAAGGTGTCAATTTTCAGCGAGGTCACACAGTAAATGGGGAAATAATTCAAGAAGGTTTTGTTTGGTAATTGTCAGTAATGTTCAGTTTTTAAATAGGCATTCCATTCACAGTTTGGATAGTAACTCAAGAAATATATGTTGCTTACTTAATAGTTTCATTCCATCTTGATCACAAACATGTGTGGGAATTAGCTATAGTATCTTTAAACACTTTGCAGAGTATTCAAGACTTCTTAATTGTGCTTAATTGTTCACATTAAGTTTTAAATTGAGTGCTTTATTTTTCCAAGATTTTAGTCTGTATAAATAAAACTTGAAGCATGCACAGAATGTTTAAGTCGTTGTGTGATAGTTTATACCCTGGATTTTTTTTTTAACATCAGCGTGAGGTTGCCTCTTGCACACCCCTCACTGAGGGGAACCCTGCCCACAACCCCCAGCATGTGCCCCGACTGGGAATCGAACCCACGACCCTTTGCTTTGCAGGTCTGCACTCAGTCCACTGAGCCACACCAGTTGGGGCTGGACTTACTTTTCTGTTGGACCTTTTGAATCTGCCAAAGCTCAAGGTAGATTTGATGTGATTGTTGTTATAAATTATTTGTCAGGAAGACTTGATTTAATAAATACAGATATCCTTTTTTTTTCTATCACAGTTCCATAACCTGCAGTTTACTCACCTTTATGATATGGAAAAATACCAAGTGTTCTGCACCTACAACAGAAGACTAAATCATTTGATATGTAAAATTGGAGGAAACTCTGGAAATCACTAAGAATTTAACAAGTTCTTCATAAACACTTTGTTGTTTTGTTTTAGGAATACAACTACAGGGCCAAAAATGACATTTAAAGATTAAGGCAACAATTCCATCTAGATGATCCTCACTTTATAGTCTTTCCTTCAAAATTGATTCCACATGCTGACTATGTTGGTGATATTATGCTTTTAATTGCCCAGACACAAACCTTGATTTTGCCTTTGACTTTATCTATCCACATTTCACTGGCCAATTTTTTTCAGCCAATTTTTGAAATTTCAGATACCTGTTCATTTCTTCCAGCTTTTAACTAGGTTTTCTCTCTGCCTTTTCTTCCTACTCAGTATGTCCAGCTTTCTGCCTAATCTTCATGTTTTGAGTATATCTCTCACTGTTAAATCAGTAACAGCTTCCTGTCACCTACAGAGTTATGATAGGATCTAATGATAGCACTGTTTCTCTATAGGAGCTATCCACCTAACCAAACCACCTCAGGTTTTCATTTAGACTTTGTATTTTTGTACCTTTATAGCTGTTGAAACTGAATATCTGTGCATAGCCTGCCTATTCTTTAAAGAATGTTTTTCTCCTAAGGTACTGAAGAAGCAAATGAAGTCAGATTTTGTTGAAGTTTCATTTTTGGTGCTTCAATGTAGCCTTCCAGATCTTTCTGTTCCCTGTGTTGTTTTCCTTTGAACACATCCCTTATTGTTTTATCACTCCCTTGGTTTTTCCATATGTCATGGGCTCGTGGGGCAGTTGGAATCCAATCTTCCTTTTTATAAAGAAAGTGTAATCCATACAGAATACCTGCATTAAAACAAACATCCACATATTTAGTGATCGGTGACTGAGTCCAGACTCAGCCCTTGATTCCCTAACTCAAGTTCGGTGTATCTTTACAAATTTTCTGTATATTCTTTCTGAAACTGTACCGCTCATCTCTTGCAATGTTTATTGTTGTTTGCTTCACATTACTTTGCATTTTGTATATTTATGCCTTCTCTATAAATTCAGAACCTTTTTTTTAGGAGGGCAGGGGAACCTTCATGATTTGCAACATTTAAATTATTGAAACAGTGATTTAAGAGTCTACAGTCTTTCTGTGCTTGTTAGATGTGTCAACAATATTGGAAAAAATAATGGTATCTCTATGGTTGAGTCCTGTGAGTAACTAAAAAGTGAATGGATCTCTTAGAAGTGTTATGGTAGAATTTGATAAAGAGACTGAGTCTTTGGGAGGCCTTAAAAGTATATGGTAACAACATAATGGTTTGGAGGAAAGCCCTGAGGGCTTATCATTTAATTTAATGATCTGTCTACAAGTTCTCTTTTTGATTATTAGAATAGTAACACTTTTACATTTTGCTTCTTTGTCACTTTGTTCTTATGTCAGGAACCAGATTATTGAGCATTCTGCTTATTGAGCAAAGCATTCTGAAAATCATTAGTTATATTTGGGGGCTTAGAGATCTTTTGTACTTATATTTGTTCTTCATAGATTCCCTCCTTTTAACTCTAAAGTTTTTGTGAATAGCAGCAGCATAGGGTTACCTTGGCATTTTTCTTTCATTTCTTTTATGTAGCAAGAATTGAATGTTTTAAGACAGGTTGCACAGAAAACTACCAGGTGAAATAAATATATCTGGAAGGGATGCTTTACTCTTTTGGTCTGAAATAGGTAGAAGCGATTTTTCTTTTAATTTTTGGTTGTTTATAATGGCTTATTTTTACTTGTTTAAATAGATTATCTCCTAAAATAAACTGTTGAAACACTGATTCTTTTGTTTTTTATTCCTGAATTTGTACTTCAGTATTACTGAATTGAAAATAAATATGGTATTAATAATTTCTGCTTTGGTCAAACACACCAATTGAATAAAGCACTAAGAATATGGGTTAGGAAAATCCCTTAAAAATAGATTTATCTAAAAGGCTTTTGTTGGTGTTGTTTGTTTTTAAAGAATCAGCTTTCCAAAAACTTCAGTACATGCTTGCAAATCATGGTTGCATGTAGATCCACTCAAATAATAGATATAGCGGGGAATTTAATGTGTTTTGTACTTTTTTAGTATTCTAGCTGTATTATGGGAATGTTTCACTTATTAAATAAGACCTTGGACATTTTCCCTTAGAAATGCTTGATCACCTCCAGTTACTACATGTTCTTGAATTATAACAATTTTTTTACTTCTAGAAACATTTGGAATACTTTGTGTATAACACCCTCCTACTTCCCTAGGAGAAGAATTCTACTTCCCTATGAGGTTTTGTTTTTTTCTTTCTTTTTAATATTCATTAAAAGGCCTATAAAACCTTCCATGATTTGTCTTTTTGCCTACTACTAGCTTCTTGTCAGTTTCCCTTCTTTTAGTCTACTCTTTGAGCCTTGCTTAATCATGCTTTTTTTTGCCTTGGAACCTGTGAGCATGCTCTTCCTGTAGACCAGGGACTACATCAACTTCGTGGTTGCCTTCAAAGGGCCAAATGTAGAGCTTCTTGCCTCTAGTTAAGGAGTAGTTACATTTATACAATCCTAAAATTACGTTTGGCCCTTTGAAGGCAACCACCAAGCTGATGTGGCCCCCAGTGAAAATGAATTTGACACACCTGCTCTAGACAGATACTAATTAACCCTTACGTTAATTAGTAGTAAGTTTGCTGGTAATAGAAAGATGTCAAATAATTTCTCTCTCATACTACAGAAGTCCAGGGTTTGCATGGCACTCATTTATTGTGTTATTTCCAGGGTGGGTTTTTTCCCTGTTATAAATAACTCTGAAATAAAGATCTTTGTGAGACCTTAAAGTTTTTCTCGTTTTGGTTAATTGCTGTTATGAGGTCAATTGAAAGTCTCATTAGTTTCTTTAAAAGCTTGTTTACAGAATGTATAGTTAATTTTTTAATTGCAAAGTGCACAATTTCAATGTATATAGGTAAACAAATATTTGCATTTGTAGACAAATGCAAATATTTGCAAATACCCATCACCCAGATCAAGGTATAGAACATTTCCAGTGCTCCTGAAGGCTCTTGTGTTACTTTTTCTCAATCAGTATCTCCTACCCTCAAAGGTAATCACTATTCTGACTTATTTCATCATAGGTTATTTTTACCTGTTCTTGAACTTGATGTAAATGGAACCCTGAAGTATATGCTCCGGTGCATGGCTTCTTTTGTTTAACATTGCATTTGTGAGATTCACCTATGATGTTGG